TAGCCTAATGGCATGTAGGAGGTTAAATTTTTTTTTAAGATGTTGTATTGTGCAAACTCAAGTCAAATACTGGACACTTTTTTATTAATTTTATTGATATAAATTGTGTTGGGTAGCCGTAATTCAACTGTAGTTGTAGATGTGTGTGAGCAGTAATAAAAATTATTTTGTATTATTTGAAAAGCTTGCTAGGTGATTGTAAGATTTTGAAATGCATAATTATTTTTAATTTCTTATGTTATTTTGTGTATTGTGTTTCAATTTTTGAATCAGATCACATGAGCCTTTCATACTTAATCTTATTTTTAAATGCTTGGAAACTCAAATTTTAAAAAATGACAATTTAAGGAGCTTAATTTTGTTTACCATGATAATATTTATTTATCTAGGTTAATTTTTTTTACTATGATAGTCATTTTAAAAGGTGAAATAATTTTATAAAAATATATTTCATCTCTTTTTAACCATGATAGCCCATTTTCTACCATGGTAAAAATTATGTTTTATCATTTTTTTAATCATAAATTAGTTGACTACTATTTGTCATGATAAATATTCTTTTATCACGATTAAATTAATTATTTGAGAAAAACTAAGAGGTTGTTACAACGTAGTAAACGCCCAATCAATCGAAGAGTATCAAGGGGGAAGAGTTGCGAGCTATCAATGATGAGGTTTAGGGTTAGGAAAAGTTGATAGAAAGGAATGTGGACTTCGAGGAATTTTCTCTTCTGCTTTGCTTGTGCTTCCCTGATGAAAACAATGTTTAGACTTCAGTTTCATAAATTTTTTTTTATAATGTTAAATTGTAAACAAGATGGAACGGGCAGCTTAAGAGAGAACTCACGTTATGTGTTTTTTATAATGTTAAAATATGGGCGTTTACTATAATTTAAATTTAACAGCATATTATAATATTTAGGCTTCAATTTCATATTTTTTTATAATGTTAAACTAGCCTATGCTATCCCGTGCGATGCACGAGGAGCTAAATGTCAACATTTAAACATTGTAGCAAATAATAATTATACTATTATTGGACAACACATTATAATAAACTTTGTTCTACCACAATCACATGCAAACAAATAAGAAAATAAAAAAAATTAAATGGGTTTACAAATACAAGGCTTCAATTGTCACACTGACAATAAATTTTAAAATATTTTCTTATAAACAATATTTGTTGTTGAGCTGTTTTGGTGGCAGTCATCTCCATGCAATAGGATCTTTAGGTCATCTATGTCTTTAACTCTTGATAATGTCACATATAGTTGATCATGTGTGAAGACAGGCTTTGTAAAATATAATCCTACATGATATAAAAATTACTTTTTACTTTTATTGATAGTCATTGCAAAGGATAGCAATAAAGGAAATTGCCTTCGTTTCATCTTGAATGGCCACCTAATTTTTTAAGAATTCATGTCTATCTTATGAATTAATACCTTATCATTTTAATTTGATCCATTCAACTCGCTCATAATTTTTCTTCAATGGGCGAGTTTTAGCTCACTCATTTTGATCGGGTAATGGCAACGTTTTCGGCACTGCCGCCAGCGTCGGCAACTTGGAAAAGATAAGGTTAAAATTTATGGAGCAAATAATTAATGTTCTGGATGATGATATGGTATCAAATTTGAGGCCTGTAAATGCTATTGCTGAGAAATAATGATTGAATTCATTATTTATGATAACCTCTTCATTTTTATTACTATCGCTCTTTTTTAAAAATATAAAATATTTATAATTAAATTATATTTTATGTTCGTCTTTTATTTAATAATTTATTTTACTTAAAGACTAAAATGGTTGAATAATTTATTTATTAAAAATATTTTTAAAAAAACTTTTGAATTAAATATTGAAAAACTAAACATAACTTGTATTTTTTAAGATCTAATAAAATAAATGCATAATATTTTAAATAAAGTAGATAATTTTAAATCAACTTAAAACTTATAAAAAATATTTAACTTTCTAATTTTTTAAACTAATAATCATAATAATATATATATATATAATTACAATGTACTATAATTTAAAAGGGTTAACTATATATCTTTACCTTTTATTTAATAGTAAATAAGACTTTTTTTAAGCAAATAGTAAATAGGACTTCAAAATTTGTATTTAATTAAAATATATATTTAATATTAATAATTAATATAAAAATGCACCATTTAATTTAATTTCATAGCGTCTACACTGGAGGCGTCTTTGATTGCCGTCTAGGCACTTTTCGCTTATTTAAAAATCTCGATAATATCAACATAAGAGTGATTTAAATCTAGATGGAATTGAATCCAAATTTAATAAATTATTTTATATTTATTAAAATAAAAAATTAAAAAATATTTTAATAATTTTTTTATTAAAATTTTTATAATTTGATTACGTAGATATATTCTGTTCAGTTTAATTTAATATTAAAATTAATATAATTTTATATTTGGATAATTTATCATATTTAATAAAAACATAAAAGATTTTTTTAAAAAAAATTACACATTAAAATTTTTAAATTTAAAATGTGCAGATCTCATGATGAACACCGACGATCGAATCACAAAATTATGCATCGAAACAAATTCTCTCGCCCCCGAATTCTCTCTCCCGGTGACCTACCTGCGATTCTGAACAGTTCAAATCAAATTTTAATTATGCGAATCTGATCCGATACGATAGTCCAGATTTGGAGTGGACTCTCTACTGAATGGAGAGAAGCCACTTCCTCCAGAAGATAGAAGGCGAAGGCAAAACGACTGTTTCGTGACCAAAAGAAAATAAAATTTAAGAAAAAGGAACCATCAGGAACCAGAGTTTTATCCCCAAAAGCTACGACAGCTATACGGTCCGCATCATGGCTAGGGTTACAGAACCCCCATCACTTGGCTCCAATCAATCACACATTCATTCGAAACCGGACCAATCAGATCAACAAAAACAGATTATTTTCAGATCGCAAGAAAAAGAGAATACCAGATGAGAAGAAATAGGGCTCAGATAGAATGGGTACGAGAAATTTATCAGCACAGATTGATAAAAATCATCAGAGTGGTGCATGACTTTCTCTAATACTCATCACCGCCCACAACATCCAATATGAAGAAAGATGATAGATGTAATGTGCATGTGCGCAAGGGGAGAATATAAACGAAGTAAAACAGAGCGAGAGAAATGAAGGACACGATAGCCCTATCTGAGAAATTAAGCAGCGAAGAGGGCAAGGGTAAAGAAGAAAAGCAGAATGATGGTTATATATAGGTGGAGGAGGAGGCCGAGGTTAGTCCTGCGGGTATGGTGGCCACTGGCCAGTAATCTCAAAACGCAAACCCTAAACTCTTTTAAGTTTTATTGACAAGTTTGCCCTCACTAGGTTATCTTCTATCCCACGGTACAGTTGTCGGCAGCTCACGCCCCCGCGTGGAGCAAGAAATGGTTCCCTGGGACTGGGATAACTGCATGGCCTCAAGCCTTCGAGTTACGGCTAAAAGTATATTTTATAATTACGTTTTTTTTAAAATATTAATTTAAAAAAATGTCACCCATCTAATATTTTATTTATTAAATAATATTAAATAGGGATAATATAATGCTTAAAATAATATTGAAAAAAATAAAATTGATAAAATTTTATTTTTATTAAAGTGTTTATTTTAAAATGTTAAATTTTTTTTTAATATCTTATAATTTGGAGGTAGCACTTTTTTTTTTTTTACACTATGAGATATTGTAATATTTTCACTGAGATCCGTGTAATAACTTTCGGAATCATGAGTCTTTTCAATGCTATCGTAATAGAATTCATTACAAATTTACTATTATGTTTTAAATTGAATAATATTTTTATAAAAAGTACATATTGATATAAGCCATGCAATATAGATTTAGTACATTCACTCTGAGGGCTGAAATTTATTATTATGGAGGTGACAGGGCTGGGTTAAAAGAAAAGCCATTTTTGCGAACATTACTTGAAATTTGATCTGAATTTGTATTATTTATAACTCAAATAATACGATTTTGTATATTCTTAATACACACACACATATTGACAAATGATTTGAATTACAAACTTGCCATATTACTTTGTTTAAAATGGTGGTGGCAAAAGTTGAATTTAGCAAAAATGGTTAGTTTCTCAAAAGCTAAAATATAATTTTTTTATTGAAAGAAATATCATGTTTATTTTTTAACTGTACCTTAAACAAAATTATTTTCAATTAAAAACACGTGTACAATTAAAAAAAACCCAGTCACTATAAGTTGCAGGGGATTTAATATACAATAATGTATACACTGAAAGTAAACAAATGAAACTATAATGCCAACAGCCTTGTGGCTCAATTGGCACCCCACCCTCGCCCTTAAGGTTGTGGGATCAAACCCATAAGTGATGTGTGTGTGAGTTGTCCATTTTGGAGAAGGATTAAGTTAGGATTAGCCCCAAAAAACAAAACATGAAACTATGGTCTTCTTGAAACAATCTTTTGGAGGCTAGGGAAAATAAAGCAGACTCAAGGGAGATGTAAAAGAATTTTTTAAAATGCAAAACAGATATATAATATTTATAATTATAATTATCATTTACCAATAATAAACTTTTCACATACATACAAAATCCAAATTAAATCGGCTTACAAATAATTTAACTATATTAACTTTTATATATAAATAATATTAGTTATATGCTTTAATCATTCTATCCAAAGACATGAATGTTTTTTTTTTTTTTACTATCTATTCTATTCCATCCAATCTAATTTTATAAGTCACTTTTGGCATTATCACCAAAGTCAAGGGGATGCTTACAACTCAATAACCCTAGCTTTAAATTAACAGTTTTTACCTTTGCCCTTATTGAACCCATTCTTAAAAGAAATAATTTAAATCCTTAACACGGGAAGTATAAAATAGGGGTAATATAAAAAAAATGCAATAAATATATTATATGGTGCCCTCTAAAAAGGACCAAAAAAAATTCTCATCCAAAAGACTTGTAATAAGGACAAGAGTATCCATCTATTTTCTTTCCCCTTTGTTCATTACTTCCCGGACTAAAGCAACTTACAAAAAAGGCTATGTACACGAGACGGTCCAAAAGATATACAATTACACATGACATAAAATGACCCCTGACCTATCATTATCATACTTAAAGCTAATCAAGGAACCGTTTAGCGGAAGGAAAAAGGGGAAAAAAAAACGATCATCAAATCACCTGGACGTAGTTTAAAAAATAATGTCAAAATCCATTTTGAGTATGACTTTAAATTTATACATGCATGAACTGTAAAAACGAAATTCAAAACCTAGACGTTGACGCTCTGGATTGGGGAGGCCGCCTCTTTCCACTGGGCAAACCACTGTCACTGACACTCCCTTCCACAAGAATATCTTGAAGCTCAGGAAATTCAGTCCTCCATGACCGCAAGGGTACGAGATGGCTATCATCCTTGGTGCTCCTCCTCCTCTCCTCGTGCCGTTTCACGTTCTCTGATATCTCATGGAATGTTTTGTTTATTTTTGCAATTCCCCTTTCAACTGGTTCTACCACATGCGAAACTGTGTATTTCATGTCGTCAACAATCTGGAATACAATGACACCAAAAAAAAAAAAAAAGCTAGATCAGCTTTGACGCATAACTGAGAAGGCTCAGCTTAAACTGTATGAGTATAATGTTCATATCTCACAATTTCACCACTTCCAACAACCACATCACGAACACTGTGAGTAAATTTCATTCTCTCTCTCTCGTCATGTCGTCCAAGCCGTGTCCTGGTTGTGCGTTCAGAGTCTTGAATCTCCTCAGGGTCAGGTAATGTCCCTAGCGATGCATAGTCATCCATCACCGCTACATTACGAACACACCTCTCTCCCCTTTTATAAGGTACTGCAGGGAACACATAAAGGTGCACAACAGCAGCTATGCCCATCTGCCAACAAATTTTGCAATGGAAACCATTAAAAAAAGGCCATCCCAAAACATCAGAATTGACAGGAAACACTATAGCATACGACACGCATGATGAAAATTTAAGTTCAAACAGGAGCAAAAAACAGCAAACTACAGTAGATAAAATGACTTGACTCTTCACAAAGATAAGCTGAATGCATTTTTTGTAACTAATACAAGTTTTTGTCACACTTCTAAAGCAGAGCAGTCATTGACCTCAAAAGATTTAAGAAGATAGAGCAGAGCTCAGAATATTCCAGGTGTGAGCATGACCACAACATGTGCTAACAGAGTACAAAGCTCACCAACTAAAAATGAATTTCCCCCAAGATATTATACACTGCTTAGTTTTGGCGGTTTACTGCCCATTTATCAATTCTAATTATATCCCTCATCAAACTTTATGGAACGTTTACGAAGACAAGGTCACTGATACCATCCATTCAGTCAAAAAGAATCATGCTAATAAATACTCCTCCCTCCATCCCTATATACAGGGTGTTTTCTAGAAATTTATTTTGTCATTATAAATATAAGGAGTGTCATGATATATTTAAGTAATTAGACAATTTTGCCCTTGTCTTGAAAAATGGAGAAGATATTAATTGTGTGATTTACCCACCACCATGATATTGATTCTGACATTATTAGGGGCAAAATTAAAAAATTATTGTGATTTTATGTGATTGCAACTAAATTACAAACTTTTATTGGCATGTAGGATTCGATTAAAAACACTTTATACATAAGAACGGAGAGAATATTTCATCCACTTCATGTATTCGTTTATACAAACTATATAGACAAGAAAATTCAATTTGTCATATCCACAATAGAACCTGCAAGTTCACAAATTAGTCTATTCAATATTTACATATATCCATATTAGTAAAATGTGGCGGTGGCCCAAGGCTTTCATTCATAGATCCCACATGATGCTGATTAAAGCTTAAACTTGCTCAAAACACAACCAAACATGGATAATACGTCATACCAGTACTCCCAAAAATTAAAAGAGCTTGATAACGCAGAATTAGAAATGAGAATAAAAAATCAAAGAGTGCCACAATGGCTAACCTCTATACAGATTATATAGTCTTGTATACGTGTTTTGAGCTCCTGAGCCAATGAACCTTTAAATGCTCCGACTGAAAAAAGAAATGCAACAGCCACCCCTTGCCACCATGTCAGAAACACAATTGACTTGAAAGTTAGGAACTTAGCCAGTGGTTTAATTGGCTCCAATTTATCTTTAGTAACAGAATAGAACTGTACAAGGCAGTATAAGGCCCATGTCTGGCTAAAATTAAGAACAACTGCCAGGTAGGGATACCTACAAGCAAATAGGAGAATCAGAATGCAAGAATTCTAATGACAAATAGCCCTCCCCAAATCAAAAGAAGTAGAAATAGTATTTTAACCTTTTCAATTGGTGATCCCAAGAGAGTATGAAATGTTATTTATATTGCACAGCATAATTTATATTTGAGAATTGAAATATGTTCTATGACATGCACAATGCACGAGCGAACAATATCAAGATATAAACTGATATATTAGCTTAACTTACCCATACTTCCATTCAAACTTCCCCTCTCCATAAACCCCAAAAGATTGGAGGATCATTGCCAGCAATGCGCATATCATTTTTAGTATCATCTGAAATAAAAGCTTTACTCATCAGAAAACAATAGGTAAATTCTGATCCTAACAGGGAAGGGGCTTTACATATCTCAATCTACCAAATCACACATACATATTGCACAATGCCAATTTTCACAGCATTATAGAAGTCAGGACCAAGATACCAATCTCTTAGGAGGCAGTTTAAAGGGAATGGATGCTCTACAACTCCATACGCATATACTTCTTTTAGAAGAGGAGAGTTGTAATCCATTACACTCATGCTTTCCATGAACTGAATTGTCATGTCCTCACCACCTATGAGCATAAAAAGTTGAGCAAAAAGTGAGACAATCACAACACAATTCAACCAACAAATAATTTTGCATTAAATATATTCGACATGCATTGCACAGATATAAGTTGCAGCTGCAACTAGAGAGAATTGTATGGGTGTATAATCTGTTTGACATACCTAAGCAAGCTATCAAGTATCTCTCAAAGCAATATAATGCAAAAGCCTCATAGCAATCTCGAATGACTTCACAGTTGAATGCTGCACTCGAATCAAGTAGCGACAAAAACTGCAAAATAAAATATGGAAATTGACAATGTGTTATTCAAGGAAAAATAAATAAAAACATTATGATTTTATTCTGCAGTAGGTCAAGCAGATATGCCTATACTTAAGTTTGCTGTAGCTCACAACAAAGAATTCCTGCCAGAAATGCAAACTGAGCTTTATAGAAAGTTGTATCATCAGCTAAACAAGGGAAAAAAGGCTGGAAGTCTACAATGAAAGGAAACAATGCACAATTCTTCCAATAAGTAAACAGCAACAACCTATGTTCCCGAAGCAAAATACAATCAATCAACATGCATGCACTAAATAGTAGATTCCCTTGCACTTCCATGATATAGCAACACCATTATAGTCCATAATGAAAAAATTGAGGCAAGATGGAAAATATTTACATTGCATTCAGCGTATGCAGACATGGATATTCATAAAAAAAAAAAAAACTAGATAAATTTAACAAACCATGAAAAAGAGAGTAAATGGCACTTAATTTGTTACTTACCGATTCCAGTGCATAAACAGGAACCATTAAAATGAGACCAATCAAAAACTTCTGCTCCTGAACAAGGAAACACACAGATATGAAGGAAAAGAAGAACCTGAGGTGAAATAGCCACGTTAAAGAAAACTAGACAAATATAGTAAGAAGCATTTCAAGAGGGGAAGGAGAGATCAACTAAGTATGACCAAAAAGTAGAAGAGCATAAGATTGAACCTCTGGCTGATTATAGGCAGATAAATGCTCAAAAATCAGATACATGGAGAGAACAAGAGCGACAAGCACAAATAGACTTGAACTGGAGATAGCCCAGTTGAAGGTTCCCGCAAACTCCACACCTAGGTTTAGGAGCCACATATTTCCTGACCTGATCGTGGACTCAAGGAATGTATAAAAAGATGTGGAAGAACATAAAGCACCCGTCAAACTCGTGGTAGAAAATTATTATTTCTCGTAATAGATGGTCAGCATTCCTTGATCAATCTCATGATTTGCTACTTCTACAGCATGTGTTGTGTCTCCAAAAGTCTAAAACGCCTCTGATTCACTCATTCAACTCTCTTTCTTTCAGTCTGCTCTTGACTGTACGGAATTAATCAAACCTGTAAGGCACAATATTTGACAGAGGAAAACCACCCTTCTGTTACAACAAATAGTCCTCAAATATAATGTGCACCATGAAGAACTAACAAATTCCATTAACAGTAAACAGGGATGTTAGCTTTTGACACAAGGAAATCCACCAAGAGAATGGACAACAATCCTGCATTGACAATCATATTCATTATTTAACTAATTAATAACAAGAAGAAATGACAACAAGCAGGAACGCTCTAAAGGTCATCCTTAAAACTATGTATTATGGTTCAATTAGAAACCAAACATAACAGGAAATGAAGTAATGGCAATCCCCGAGAGTTAAACTAGAAAACATAAAACCCTCCTGACATATTTTGGAAGTTGGCAACTAAAACAACCAAATCTTGAGGCATCATTAAATAACAAGATTGCAAATCAGTATACATGCACCATACTTTCATGAGAAATTGAGTCCAACCACCAGATAACTCAAAGTTGGCATGACAAGTTCTTATCATGCATATTAAATAACCGACCTTCAAAAGGTTACGATCCTTGGCTTAGAACATGCCAATAAATCACAAACAAAAGAACCACCTAGCCCAAAAGCCCAGAAAAAGGTTGACCCCAGTCACAACTCACAAGTACCAAATAATATAGAATGGTCAAGTTATTAAGCATGCTGCCCCACATCACCTTCTCTAGTAAGTAAAATAACTATAGTTAGTTGCCACCTTATCAATTGCCTCAGGTGAAAACATCATCTTTGACAATATCAGGTGTACCTAGATTGCTGCTGGAAACAACCTTGTTCATGTGTCTATTCATTTTTTTATCCTCTCTTTTCGGGGAAGGGACGTCAGAAGGAGGAATTGGAATAACACAGAAGACACATCATCATCAAACAACTTCTGTTCCATCTTATCCTAGGGAAACGAAAATGCAAATCAACAGCGCATGAGAGCCATAATAGTATGTTCTTTGCATCAGTAAATTATTCATTGATAACATATAGGTGCGGTATCTTCTCCCTGCGTAAAATAATGTCCACATGGAACTTATTACTTATCAAACGGTTATATCGACTTTCTTTCATACATTAAATTGCAGCATTGCTGCTACTCTATGGAGAATGGGCTCGGGATCGCAGATATAGTTTGCTAGGCGCAAAAAAAGTATTACTGAAATTTAATGTTTTTTCAGACAATAAAAGTAGATGTGGTGAAGGGCGACAATAACTTCTAACGTGTCCAGACTCCAGAATTAAAAGATGGAGGGCATAGTATTTCTTTCTCTAAGAGGTCAACAGTACAACAACATTCATATCTACTCCCCCCTATCTCCAGTGCAACCGGCCTAATTGCAGGTAACGAAAGTATTATCATACACCATACACGGAACTCAGAGATTAAAACAAAAATAGCATAGTGATCAAGCAGAGGCTCCAGTAAGGAGCTAAAAACCAATGCAAAAATAAGATAGCATAATGAGAGTACTGAAATAAGAGCATCATCGCTACGATCAACTAAACATCACTATTTCATAAGAATTTTCTCTCGCCGTGCCTAACCTTATGATTGCTATGGTTGATAAATAAATTCAGAATTTGATAAGAGCAGGGGAGGCTGAAAAAGGGTCAAACGAGTGAGGAGAGGATGACTTACCTTGCTCCATGTTGCAGAAAGGGAACAGAAACAAGTGAAAAAAGCAAAAATAAAACCATCATTCGTAATAAACCGCTGAAGTTCAATAAAACCTCAGTTCATTAAGAACAGTGAATCAGACTAACTAGCCGCGATTGTTAATCAAACAACAGTTATAAAACACACATCTTTCACGGCATATGCAATTCCAGTAAGAAGAATTCAGCGGGAAAAGGAATGCGAAAAACCCTAGACGACATAAAAATGGAAAATAAGTTCCTTATGAACCGAAATAACTCACTGCAACCGAAACGAAATAAGCACTGCAATGTGGCACCAGGGATACGGCTGACAGAAAATTAAGAAGAGAGAGTTCAAACCTTCGCTAAAAAAAAAAAAATTTCCCTGAAAAATCGAGATGAATAGTTTTGTGGAAGAATCAACACAGCAAAGTGGGGAGAAAAGCAAACGGAATTTGCTTCGGCGGTTGGAAAACTATAGTCACGAAATTATCTGAAAAGGGGCGAAGATTCTAAAGGTACTGAAGTGATTAGAAATAGTAGTCACAGACGAAATCGAAGTCGTTCATGTGAGAGGGCCCCTGACTCATCGGTCGTTGGTCATCTAGGTTTGCTGATTTGGCGCTTTATCCGAGGGCTGTGACTGGCCACGAGCTTTGGTTGGTAAAATTTAAAAGGAAAAGAAAAAGAACACGTCATGTTGCGTGCGTGGCAAAAGAAGGAGGGCCGAAGTTTCCGCTCCCGTGTCATATCGAAGTTCGGCTTTGGGCTTTGTCACTCATGCTTCTCGCTCTGCCAAACAATCTGAGCTCACCTTAGACTGTTAGCTAAGAAAGGTTTATTTTTGTTTTGAAGTATTTTTTAAAAGGTTAATGAGCAGATAGATAGAGTCATAAATTTTTACTCAAAAATTATTTTGACTTTAAATTTTTAAATTTATAATAAAATAAATTTTGATCATTAATTTTTTAATATCATTACTGTTCATGTAATTACTGTTCATATGGACTCTCAATTAATGCTGACATGTCATTATAAATTAACATCACAAATTCTAAACTATTATATTGTAGCATTCTTAACCCTAAATGATTATGTAAGTAACATTTTCAACTATAAACTTTAAAATTTTAAGAAAATTATCCCCACTATTTATATATAAAACATTAACTATTATATATACTAAATTAATTTCAGTATAATTCACCACAATAAATGCATCGTTAGTCATAATGAACGACCTATAATTTTATAAAATAACATTTTTTATCCCTTTTTTTATAATATTTTCTAAACGATTCATATATCATGCTTTTATATTCTATCACTCTAATGTAATATTATTTTGAATAATTTTTATTTATTTAATGATAAAAACTTAAAATTTCATTTAAAAAAATTAAATATCATAAAATTTTGATAGATGCAAAAGTCAATGAATTTAAGACTCAAATTAATTGATTAATTAAAATTATCTAATAAATAAAAGGAGGGCCTAAGTACCCTATTATAATTCCGTCTGGAATGCTGTTTTAGACACATTAAATTGAAAATAATGATTGAACCAATATTAAATAGGAAGGCGGCCCCTATCTTTCAAAAATGCGAAAGAAGTTTGTCTGCCAGTATACAAAACTTACAAAAGAATCGGGATATTCATTACATGGTTATACAGTAACTATAAGCATCCTCAGCAGGAATCAACAAACCCATTAACATGGCCAGAGAGGCTGTGGACAAAGCGGGGGAGAAGAAAGCCCATTACAGGAATTAGAAGGTTTCCTATCTTTGTACCCAGTTCCGTGTTTGTTTTTTCTCCTGAAACGAGGCGAGTGTTTTTGCAACTTCTCATTTTAGGATATGTCAAAATCCACATTATCGCCAAGGCGTCAGCTAGCATTATTTTCAACCTGCTTAACAATTATTTTATCGTCTTCTGCAGCGGATAGTGGATCGAGTCCAATACCTCTGATCAAGCTCCTCTGGTGACCTTTTTCCATGCATGCCCAAGACACATTAATTCTGTAAACACTTATCTACGTGGCCCCTGCCAGAACATCCCTCAAACGACAGAGGAGCTAGAACGAGCTACCCTCTGAGCTTCTTCCAAGTCCCTAAGAAACCTGCGATTTTAAACAAAGACATATCTAATGCCAAGGAAATCGAGACTACTATCTGTTAAAATGTCTTCACAGTTATTAGAAGTATCCTCAACCCATCAATGGACAGCCAAATATAACAAGTACATCAATCTATAAGAAAATAAGACCAGACCAATGAACTTTATCACCTAGATAAAGACCATGAATCATTCACAAGGAACTGGAATAGTCTAGTCACAGGATATGGTTTTTGTTGTAAAAGCAGTCTACTGAAGCATAACTCACCAACAGAAAAACCACCAAATCCCAACCACATCGCTTTAAAAAATATCCAAATTAAGATAAATCAAGTCCAAGTTAAGACAAGTTTCAAATTTTGCTCTCAACACAAGACAAGAACCAAGCCAGAACCTGGACCTATCAATTCAACAAATCTATCAATTTTAGCATGCCAAATTCAGAGCATAATTGGTGCACAAAAGCCGAAAACATTGCCTACTCAAATCCAAACTATCTTCATCGGTTCATCTTACCCCTTAGAATTAAGAACTGTAGTACCGCAAAGTATAAAACGAACCCCAATATTACTGGTATTTTGTATAGCAACACATCGTGACTCCTCATAAGTCGTCCCACCAACAATGAAGATGATAACTTCCTGCGGCCTTCATTCCACGAACACATCAGAAATGACACATTAATATTCAATAAATCAATTAACAAAACTGCACTATCTATAAGTCGGGAATAGTTGGTCCATTTCTCATATTCCATACAATGCACAGAATCCTAAATCCACTATCTAGTTTGAGACTATTCAAGGGTATGGTAATTATCATATGTAAAACAAAAAGGGAAAAACAAATAGACGCAATCTTACACTAGCTATGCAAATAAACACTTTACATATATGTAAGGCTTCTTCTTCTTCTTCTTCTTTTTGTATCCATTATCATGGATTTTTTTCTCAAACACTATTTAAATATGATTTTCCTCAAAACAGAAACTGATATAAAATTATTTGAAAATGTAGAAAAGCAGTGCAATATGTCAAACTACATTAGCAAGTAACTTTAAATGTATTTTATACAAAACATTACACTCATCTGCATAATTGTAGTACAAATCTTTGTACCTGTACACAACATTTTGGATTGTAAAATGCAACATACATGAAACAATGCTAATCGTGAATATAGTGGCATTATTTAGAGGCATATTTGATTCACTCCAAAAACATGATTTGTTCCTGCTGCAGCAAATGAAACACAGGACTGTAATAGATCAGATATTAAGTTTTTACAAATGCAATGATGAGAGAGTACAGTACAGATGCCAAGGACCAGAAATCAAAGGAGAGAAGCTTTATCATATATTGTAATGTCTGAAATCATATCAATGGCAGTTAAGGTAGTAATCTTTAAGTTGGACCATATTGAATAGGATTGTCATTTAAATTCATAATTAAAAACTACAGACAATTAGACTCCAATCAATTAGGAGGCTCATTAGCATAAAAGGATATCAGAATTCAGGCTTGAAAGAAACCACAACAAAAGTTCACGTCATGTTGTCAAGATGATACACGTCCATTAATATGTCATGTCTTACAATCATGCTGATAATTTCTGATACAGATATTTAAGAGTGTCTCACTGCATTCTTCTTAACTAATATCCTGCATTCATTTGACTTGTTACTAAAAAGCTCATTATCCTTGTTAGACTTCAGTCAAATATCAAATGACTTATCAGACACCATGCAACTTCCAGTGGCGCCACATGAAATCTAACAACTCACAAATAACACAGAAGTATACTTAATACTAATAGCAACCAACCTTCCCTGCTGAAAGTGATTTCCAACAATTGGGTAGTCCACATCTCTCAATCGTCCTTTCACAATACTTTCCATGGTCTGGAACAGAAGTGGCTGATGTTGAGTGTATACATTCTCCACACCCTGAATCATAATCAAAAATAAATTTATTTTAGAATCCAAGATTCACAATATCAAGCATAAGGTATAATAATCAATTTTGTTCCATGATACCTTCAATCCACGGGCCATGTTACGAGCAATATTCAGTAGATCTCTACTTCCATAAAGGTCACCCGTTCTCTTGTCAACACCTGCTTGCTTCAAAAGAAACTGGACAATCTGTTGTAACATAAAAAAGATATCAATAACAATTACTTCCTAATGGAATGTAGGGCCATCAAGAAAAAAAAAGATTCATATTTCCTTCTCTACATTTGTGGTTGACCTATATTTAATGTAAATATTATTTCCTTCTCTACGTCTTGCAATCCATGTAGCCGACCCCACCTAGTGGGATAAAGGCTTGTTGTTGTTGTTGTTGTTGTTGTTATTATTTATTAATAAAGGGGATACTGTGAGGAGTAAAAATAGGGATTTTGTAGATATCCTATTCCCGAATATCCTCTCCTGATTCCATCTCCTGATTTCTTGGAGATTTGATCATCTTCTCACATGTATAAATCAGTGTACATACTCTGGGATTCAATAATAAGAGTTTTTCGGTCTATTTGCTACATGGTATCAGAGCAACTAGCAGATATCGACGCCGAAAACTCTGAGACAGAAAGCACCGAAGACGAGACACAAGAGTTGCACCCGATTCACACTTCTCCAATGTCGAAGAGTGATGGGTCCTCGCAAATCGATCCAGATAAGGCCGGTAGTCCCCTCGGGTCGATCACTGGTCATGACGGATCATCGGTGCTCGTGGTTACCATGAAACTCAATGGCTCGAATTATCGGGTATGGGCACAGGCTATGCGACTTGCGATTGGAGGCCGAGGGAAGATGGGTTACCTCGATGGCTCATCAAAAATTCCAGAAGAGTCCAGAACGCAGGAGCTACAGCGATGGCATACCGAAAATTCGTTGGTATCATCGTGGCTGATCAATGCCATGATTCCGGAAATTCAACAGAGCTTCATATTTCTTCCATCAGCTCATGAAATCTGGAAAGCTGTGCGAGATTCATACTCTGATGGGAAGGATTTGGCGCGAATATATGAGCTTAAAACAAAAGCATGGTCACTGCAGCAGGGAGAACGTGATGTCACGGCTTTCTGGCTGGAGCTGAATACCATCTGGCAGGAATTAGACTTGATGACAGAAGTGGAATGGTCTAGCAGTAATGATGCAATCCGTTATAAGGAGCAAGTCGAGAATGAACGGGTGTTTCAGTTTCTTGCAGGACTGAATCAATCTCTAGATGATGTACGGGGGCGCGTTCTGAGCCGTATGCCACTTCCATCCACTAGAGAAGTATTCTCAGAGGTACGTCGAGAGGCTTCAAGACGCAAGGTAATGACTCCTGGAGCTATTTCTGCACCAACTTCTTCCTTGGACACTGCTGCACTTGTGAGCAAGGGCAGTGATTCAAATCATAAGAACCAAAAGGGGAAGGTCACTTGTGAACATTGCAAGAAGATTGGGCATACCCGTGACACTTGTTGGGATATACATGGAAAGCCAGCCGATTGGAAGCCGAAAAAGGGCAAGCAACGAAGTTATCAAACTTCTCATGATGTACCGCCAGATAAACCAGACTCAATACCTGAAATTGATAAGGAGCAACTAGGTAAGCTACTTGAGATGCTTAGTGTGTTGCAGAAGAATGAGAAAAACCAGAAACTGAATCCTACTGCATCTGTGGCTCACAAAGGTAAATGTGCCTTACTTACTTCTAATAGTAACCCCAAATGGATTGTTGATACTGGGGCAACTGATCATATGACCTCAAATGTTAAACTATTCAATACCTATATTCCTAGCGCTGGGAATGAAACAGTAAGTACAGCTAATGGATCTTCCTCGTCAATAGCAGGAACAGGAAGTGTGGTTATTTCTAAAGTCATGAGACTGAATCATGTTTTACATGTACCTTACTTGGCTTGTAACTTATTGTCTATAAGTAAGTTGACTAAAGAGGCAAATTGCTGGGCTCATTTCTGTTCTACTCATTGTATTTTTCAGGACCTCTTATCGGGGAAGATGATTGGCAGTGCTAAGGAGCATAACGGTCTCTACTATCTCGATGAATCAACCGTGAGTAGTCTTTGGTCTCGAATCCAGTGTCACATTGCAAATAAAGACTTTAATGATCTTATGTTATGGCATAGGAGAATGGGTCATCCAAATTTTCAATACTTATGTCGTTTGTTTCCTGAATTTCAAGTTAATAAAATTTCTTCATTTCACTGTGCTGAGTGTGAACTTGCTAAACATCACAGATCTGTGTTCAAACCTGTTGAATATAAATCTACCCGTCCTTTTTCCATTATTCATAGTGACTTATGGGGTCCTACTCGTATTGCTAATCGTACAAATACTAAATGGTTCATTACATTTATTGATGACCATACTAGAATGTGTTGGGTCTACCTATTACAAGATAAATCTGCTGTGCCCTCTGTCTTTTCTCAATTTTATACAATGGTAAAAAACCAGTTTGACACCACAATCCAAGTCCTCCATACTGACAATGGCACTGAATACTTTAATAAAACCATGGATATGTTCCTCACAGAACATGGAATTGTCCATAAAAGTACCTGTCCTAACACTCCCCAACAAAATGGTATTGCGGAACGGAAAAACAAACACCTCTTAGAAGTTGCACGTGCCTTGCTCTTCACTTATAACGTTCCCAAATATTTCTGGGGAGATGCAATTCTTACCGCTACATATTTAATCAACCGCATGCCAAGTCGTGTCCTCTCATTTACCACACCTCTTGAGAAATTAAAAGAATCTCACTCCATTACTCATCTTGACACCAACCTACCACTTAAAATTTTTGGTTGTTCCACTTATGTTCACTCCCATCACTCCCAAAAGCTGGACCCTAAAGCCATCAAATGTATCTTTCTTGGTTATTCCTCTACACAAAAAGGGTATAAATGCTTTGATCCTCATACCAAGAAACTTTACATAAGCCGAGACGTTAGCTTTGTTGAGCATGAGTCCTTTTACCCAAACACTTCAAGTCAGGGGGAGAGGGGGAGTGACTTTCAGTTTTTGGAAAGTGAAAGTGAGAGGCAAAGGGGTAAAGAAATCACCACCATTCATGATTCTGATCCCTTCATTCTTGCACCAACAAACTCTCAAATAGAGTCTGAACTCTTAAACCCACAGTCCACCGAATTCAGGGTCCAATCTCCTAGGCCAGAAACTGAAGTAAAAAGTCTTTCAGATTGCACTGAAATTGCTGGAAATGCACTGGAAAAGACACCCATAGTCTACTCTAGGAAGAAATGGCGAGAAAGGGAGACTGTTATACCTGAAGCACAACCAGAATTCGAACCACAAGAGGCTCCTGAAGCTGGGAAAGCGGAGACAGACTTACCGATAGCCCTCAGAAAACAACCCAGAACTTGTACACAGCACCCCATCCAAAGGTTTGTGAGCTATCAGACTCTATCCTCACAATTCCGCACTTTTGTAACTAACCTTGATAAAGTGAAGATTCCCAATGATGTATATGAGGCCCTTAGCATACCAGATTGGAAGAATGCTGTGATAGAGGAGATGAATGCTTTAACAAAAAATGGCACATGGGAAGTTGTAGAGCTACCAAAAGGGAAGAGGGTTGTGGGCTGCAAGTGGGTGTTCACCCCAAAATATGATGCTGCTGGTAAGTTGGACAGATTAAAGGCACGGTTAGTGGCAAAAGGGTTCACCCAAACATATGGCTTGGACTACAAAGAAACTTTTGCCCCTGTAGCCAAGCTTAATACTATCAGAATCCTAATCTCTGTGGCTGTAAATCTGGATTGGCCTCTCCAGCAGCTAGATATTAAAAACGCCTTCCTAAATGGTGACCTTAAGGAAGAAGTCTTCATGACACTACCTCCAGGTTTTGAGGCGGGAAAGAACAATCAAGTGTGTAAGCTTAAGAAATCCTTGTATGGCCTAAAACAATCACCGCGGGCTTGGTTTGACAGATTCTCGGAAGTCTTGAAGAATGAAGGATATAAGCAGGGATTGTCTGATCACACAATGTTTGTAAAAATGGAAGGTGGTAAGAGGTGTATTCTCATTGTATATGTTGATGATATAATTGTCACAGGTGACTATGAGGAAGAGGTAGATAGAGTAAAGAAGGCTCTTGGAAAGGAATTTGAAGTGAAGGATCTTGGTAACTTGAAATACTTTCTGGGCATGGAGGTTGCAAGATCACAAAAAGGGATTTATATGTCTCAAAGAAAATATGTTCTCGACTTGCTTACTGAAACAGGAATGTTGGGATGTAAACCTGTAGAGACCCCTATTGTTGTGAAGAAGAAGGGGAAGAAATTAATAAAAGATATGGAAAATCAAGAAGATGAAGTTGAACCTGAGGAAAATGATTGTGAAGAAGAAGGAGAGAAGAATGAGCCTGTGGAAAAAGAAAGATACCAGAAGCTAGTTGGGAAACTGATTTATCTCTCTCATACTCGACCAGACATAACTTTTGCAGTAAGTGTGGCAAGCCAGTATATGTGTGACCCTAGAGAAAGGCATATGGAAGCTGTATACAGAATCCTAAGGTACTTGAAGGGGACACCAGGTAAAGGATTATTGTTCAAGAAGCAAAGTCTACGATCAATAGAAATCTACACAGATGCAGATTGGGGAGGAACATACAAGGATAAGAGATCAACGTCAGGCTACTGCTCATGTGTATGGGGAAACCTAGTTTCATGGAAGAGTCAAAAGCAAAGAGTGGTCTCAAGGAGTAGTGCAGAATCAGAACTAAGGGCGTTGGCCCAAGGTATATCAGAGGTACTATGGGTAAGGCGAGTACTAGATGAGATATACGTCAAGACTGATCTTCCACTGAAGTTGTACTGTGACAACAAGGCTGCCATAAGTATGGCGCTAAATCCAGTTCAACACGAAAGATCCAAACATGTGGAGATTGATAGACATTTTATAAGGGAAAAGGTTGAAGAAGGAATTGTGTGCCTTGTCTACATACCAACAAAGCTTCAAGCTGCTGATGTACTCACCAAAGGATTACACAAGCCAGCATTTGATAGTTGTATAAGCAAATTGGACATGATTAGCATCTATGATCCAACTTGAGGGGGAGTGTGGTTGACCTATATTTAATGTAAATATTATTTATTAATAAAGGGGATACTGTGAGGAGTAAAAATAGGGATTTTGTAGATATCCTATTCCCGAATATCCTCTCCTGATTCCATCTCCTGATTTCTTGGAGATTTGATCATCTTCTCACATGTATAAATCAGTGTACATACTCTGGGATTCAATAATAAGAGTTTTTCGGTCTATTTGCTACAACATTTAATCCACTGAATGGTGAATTTCCACTCCGGAATCCAAAACAAAAAAGGACAAGGTAAAGCAACCAAAAGCAATCTACAATCATCTTTCACATGTGGTGAACAACATTCCCAAAGGATAGAAGACCGCCAACCATGCTGGGGAGCATGTTAACAAATTCCAAAAATAGGTGAGGAACAAAAGAAATTCAGGTATTCAAAAAAGGCAACCATTTAAATTAATTTACCCCAGGCTTGTACTTGGCTGATCGGGAAGCCAGTTTGTTGAAAAGCTGCATCAATTGAACAGGGCTATCCTTCTCATATCGCAAAGCATACAACATGACTAAACGTAGCCGGTCCTCATCTGATATGCTTTCACTGTTTAATAGATTTGTCACTGCCTGAAAAAGAGTACATAAAAAAGAGAAGTCACAGCTTGTAAAGTATGTAACCATTTAGAGCGGATACCTGTACATATGATACAGGAAATTGATGCTTAGCACTACTCTTATTGTTTCCTTCTGGCAACTAAGAGAATCGCATTAGATGCCAAATAATTTTTCTTAGCTGAAGATTAACCCATTGCATATATTAACCCATTAAATATGTTTATTTTATTGCCCAGAAAAGCTTAAGCAAAAGGAAGTGAAAGGGTTTCAATAATAAAAAACAAACAACATATACCTCAAAAGCAGCCCCTTGCCCTCCATTACAAGCCAACTCCTGTTCTACTTCTGAAACTAACATAAGCTTTCTCTCTTGAACAATCTTGCTCATTTCTGTTACCAAGGCTACATGCTTTGACACATTTCCATGCATTTTTCTGTACTCAGGGTAATTGTCAACAAATTTGGCCATGTCCTCTGCAACAAGTCAAATCATGAAATCAATGAATCATTTACTATGCTGCTGTGCTTTGGTGAGTTTATTGCACTAGTACCAGCAAAAAGAATTTTACTGTAAATATTGAGAAATTCAAAGCACAGACCTATTGTCTGGATGTTCTGGTTACTCTTTGCCACTTGCTGAAATTCATCTACCAATCGCTTGATATTCATGCCTATATCTCCAAAATTCTCATACATGTTACTTTTGAAGAAAGAATCTTGCTCTGATGACAGCACAACTTCCTGTGACAAGGAGTAGCACAAAAATCACTTTCCAATCAGGACACTTTTTAAATTGCAACATCATGACATGATAGTTCATGTTAACTTATAAAGAGTGTATCAAACCTCCTGCTCCTTTGGAAATTTACCAAGGGCTTTTAAATCTACTTTGTTATCTTGGATTCCTATAAGCTCATGAACCATTGCCTGCAAAATATAATGACACAAACGAGCATTACACATATATTCAAATAACTTTTCAGATTAATCAGAGGATGTTTCTTGGTAAGCAAAAGAGTTTTAGCTTAAACCCACAGATACCTGATAGGTCCATTGATTTAACAATGGGGTTACAGGATCATCCCTCCTGTCAATTACCAATAATAATGGAGAAACTTCGGTTCGCCTAAAATCAAAAAGGCCACTTTCCTGTTGGTACATCATTTTCTGTTTCAAGAACATTAATTCAATTAGTAATTTATCACAAGCAACATGATACAATAATATGACATGTTGAAACTAATCTACACATTGCCAAACCAAAAGTGAAGAAATTTTTTTCTTTCTTTTTTTTTCTTTTTTTTTGGTTAAAGAGTTACAAAACATGGCTTTATAATCATTTTAAGGGAACAAATTCTTGTCACTACTTACAGCTGCTTCCTGTGCTATCCTTTTTGCAATGTCAGATGTCCTTTGGTATCTAATAATGGGTCTTCGTTTTAAAGCCAAAAAAACAGCTGCTATACTGTCAACAGCCCGATCACAGAAGCGCTGCAATGTTGAAGGATCCACCACCGCTGGGAGCATATAAATGTAATTTGAAGGCATATTTAAGGTAAAATGGTAAGGATCAAGGGCAACAAAGTCTGCATAAAACTCCTGGATCACCAGGACGACAATAACTATATCAGCATTAAGATTTTCAACATGAACGCTAGAACTTGAGATTGCACTACAATATAAAAGAGGGTGGTTAAGGGCTTCAAGCTCAACAATATGATGAGTCATTTATCAGATAAAAAGCTAAAACAAAAATAAAATATTCTTTGTAATTATATGCAGGAGGAAGAAGAGAAAAAGGAATTTCTTTTCAACCAGGGCTTATTTCGCAAGAATCACGATACTATTCAGGAATAATAAACTGCTAAGTAATGATCTTATCTACTTTTTTTAAAAAAAAAAAAAAACTTAGCAGAGCATCTAATATAACAAAATCCATGTCCAAAGTGCCAAAACCAGCATACTCAGACAGAAAAGCTCCTAAAAGACCAAAAGGTAGAGACTGCAGTGCACACATAAAAAATACCTGAACTTGCTGGACAACTTCCTCTTCATCTGAATCAGCGAGTATGTGAATCTGAGTGTCCTTCAACATATTGGAGAAAACTGTAATTTCAGAACGGATTCACAAAGTGTCTTCAATCAATGGGAGAAAAAAACTCCTAAACTTGGAATAAGTATAATTGAAGTTCCAAAGGACATGTTCCAAACAACTTTAAACACCTACAAAGATGATATTCTCCAAATCTAGGATTGGCTATTTGGCGGCGTAGATGCTGGATGTTCTCTGAAGTTGGTCGAAGGAAGTAAACAGCCTTGAGATGTGACATTGATTCCTTCGACTTGGAAATGGAATCCACTAACTCTACCAAGAAGACTTCTTTCTGAAGAAGCTCTGACTGTGAATAGACAACACTGACAATACTTACCTGCACCAATTTGAGAAAGATATCCACTCAAACTCAACAACAGATTTCCACCTTTCAGAGAAATTCTAGAAAGTTGAAACTGAATTCCTTCAGTAAATTGATCTGCGGCTTTAGAATAATTTAATTTAAAAATATAATAGCAGGCCAAACAAACACGACGATAGTAACTGCAAGCTAAATCAGAACAAATAAGGAGAAGAAAAAGAAATATGGAATAGTCCTTCATTGTTGTAGGTGACACGGTACTGACACATGAGCAAAACTTAACGCAGATGGTAGCTGATCTAGCAGAAATATCACTCGCCTAAATGATTAGAAATTGTTAATGTGTAAAATATAATTTGAATCAGCAGAAGTCATGATTCAGAACAAAGGATTATAAGTGCCAGGTCCAACTATCGAACACCGATAACCAAAGCTGGTTAGTAAAGGGACGTACCGTCTGGGAATCTAATATGAGAACCTTCATGCCAGAGATGTCTTGCAACATCCGGCTGATATAATCCCGTACCGCCGATATCAGAACCATTTTTCCGGGTTTAAGTCGGATGAACCCCTCAGTTCCTGGTTATTTATCTTTCCCTTGATGACGACGATGAAAGTTCCAATTCCAATATAGTTAGTGCGAATCGGGAAGGGAACGGCCGTGCGACTCAGATCTGGGACGACGGAACAAGAAAAGCGTTCAAGTCCTGACGCACCGTTTTAGATGTGCATCGAGTTCGTACTTTCTTCAATTTGAGACTTCTAGTGATGGCGACGATTTTTTTTTTTTTTTTTTGGTGGGAGGGGACAAAGCGTTCTTGAAAGAGGAAATTTTACTCAATTTAATTTCCATCAAAATGCTTAAAATTTTAAAATTTCATTACATATCCATTTTTATAATTATACATTTTAACTGATTTTTAAATTAAATTATTTAAATAAATTTTAATTTATTTAACTGATTTCTAAAAAAAATATTTAAACATCAATCATGTTATAGTCATAAATATTTTTTATAATTTCAATTTGCTAATTTCAATTGCAGATTTTTAATCCAAATACATGTTAAGGGAGGGGATGATATCCTCCTCTTCCTTCTCATTGTCATCCTCTATTTTTCTTAATTTCTATCATTAGATTAAGATTTTGGATGATCTAGATTTGATCTCTTCCGAAATATTTTATCTTACTTTACTTTTCGTGTTTTTTAATTGTTCTTACTAAATTTTAATAGTTTGAATTTTATTTTTTTTATGATTTAATATGTTTATATTGATTTAAAAAAATTACTTTAGATCCTAACACTTTACTCACGTTTTGTTATTAGTTACTGTACTTTTTTTATACTTTAGGTCCTTATATTTTTATTTTTTATTATTTTAAGTCCCTTCAAGTTCCTACACTTTATTCATGGAGGAACTTAAAACAATAAAAAAAAGTATAGGAACCTAAAATATTAAAAAATACAAGAAATAATAACAAAATTCAAGCAAAATGTAAGAACTTAAAGTTATATTTTTTCTTGATTTTATAGGAAACCAAATCTAAATTGTTTAAATTTTGATCTAATGGCTGGAAAGGGAACAAAAAAAGGATAATGTAAAAGAAGAAAAGAGAATCAATGCCCACTAAACCTCCTCTCCTCCAATTAAACTAAGCGAGATAAGATAATAACACTCTCTTCTCTTCTCTTGAACCAGACATAGCCTTAGGAGTTAAGAAAGATAATCAAGCTTGAAAAGGTCAGTATGTTCAAGCTTAATATTATTCTTTAAGAAACCTTTTAAAAAGTACAAATTATATTAATGATGAAGGATGATAAAAAAAAAAGATATACAAAGCTTAATATTTCTGCCACTAAAAAGGAAATGATCAAATTATACCAAGATTGAAGGTGATAATGATAATCTCAATGTCAATGTTGCCAGTTTTAATTTTTAGTATGTTATTTGTATTATTAAGAGCTCTTACTGATTTGTTGTGATTGTGGACTGATTTTGTTTTAAATTGTTTATTTTTTAAAATTTCATCTTGTGAGAAATAATTTTTTTGAATTATAAATATGTTTTAAATAATTAATTTAGAAAAAAACATATATAAATCTGTGTAACATTCTGATTTTAAATAATAAAAAATTATAAAATTTAAATCTTATTAAAATATATATATATATATAATAAAGATTTATATTATTTGAAGTCATTCGGGGATAATAATATGATTAAGTATTTAATTATAAATTAAAATTTTAAATTTTAAATTGCATAAAAAAATTTAATCAAGATATAATTTTAAAATTTTAAATATATAAATAAATATGTGTGTGTAGGTAAAAGGAAAAAAAAGAAATGCAAGGTATATTTTAAATTCCCCATCAATTAGACGTGAGAAGAGAAAAAGTTTTGTCATGTATAAAAGCTGGAATGCGCATGGGCAGAGACCGGAGAGGCATTGATGTAATTTGTAAAAATTATAATTAATGATTCAATAGTTTGAATAATTTAATTTAAATCTATAATTATTTTTGTAATATAATTGTGGGCTCCAACTTTTCAGTTTATATTAGCAATAAAAAAATTATTTAATTATAAAATTCATTTCATAGTTATTTTTTAAATAATATTACCTTTCTAATGATGTAATTATTTTGTAAAGTAAAACAAATATTTTGATTAAGATTTTTTTATAGGATAGTTAATTTGACATTATAATAAATTAAAAATACATATTAAAGTTGTTATAGATATAATAAATATTATAAAATATTTTTTTGAGGTTGAAACTCATATTTAAGAATTTTTGAGTTAGACTCTAAATCTGTATAATTGAATTTATGTTGAATCGAAAATGTAGAGACAAACCTCTAATCATTAAATATTTATTTAAGTATGATTAGGTATGTCTAAGGTTATAGAATGGTGATTTGAGGATTAAGGGTAATTTTTAAATTTTTAATTTATTTTTGAACTAATTTTTGAAATATAAATTGATGAAATTGTGATATTAGAAGTGATTCAAGGCTTAAATATAGTTTATTAGGATATGAAAATTATAAAAAGAATTTAAAAAGTTAAATGAGGCACAAATCTTAAATTAGTGTTAATATAGTCTTAGGCCTAAAACTTTCTAACTCTTTAAATTAGAATTATTTATTAATTTAAACATGAAATTAATATATAAAATTATGAAATAATTATGTGGACTGTATTGATAAAGAAAGTGATAAAAGAGGAGTTGTGAAGGGAAATTTATTGTTTAAGACACAAGGTAATCATTATTAATGTGTAGTGATGGGCATGTGTGTGATTAGTTATGTGTTGTTTTTGTTTGGAAAAAATTATGAATTGTTAGAAATAAATATTGGTATGTACTTATTTGAAATTATTGCTAAGTGGATTAAAAATTTATATTTGTTTATTATGATGAGATATTATTATTCGGTTATATTTTTGTTTAGATGTTTAAATGATGCATAACTTGTCAGGGTATTTTAATATATGGTATTGTTAGAAATTTTTGTTTGGTTAATTATTATCATATGATAAGCCCTCATTGGACCCAATAAGTGGCATGTAACTTGGTCTAACTCATATTTGGTTGGGTGATTTGACATCCAGACATGACGAAATGAGGATATAAGATGTAGTCATACAATTAAATACTTATCTAGTTTGTTTGAAAATATTATTCGATTAAATATTTTTATATGCCCACTTAGTAGTCGCATCATTGCATATTAATTTTTAATTACTAGGACTTTTAAGTCTCATTCCTCGTGGTTAATATTTTTACATGAGCGAGTCTGGCCTAAAAAGCATCAAAGGCGTAACTTTGATATATGAGACACAACCTTTTACGTTACTTCTTATTTTGAATTATGTAATATATCTAGCGTCAATTTAAGACACATCTTATTTTGTAGAGCATATAGACGTTAATCCTTTTTATTAACTGCATTTATATGACTAAGAGGATCATGTCTGTCCCTTTTGATCCTTGACCTGATTTAAATATCATGCCATAAGAATCATGTCTGTCCCTTATGGTTTTAATTACTTTTTGGAATATCAATAACATAACAAAATTTACTTGGAAGTATTGAGTATTTAGTGAAAAGGTATTTATAATACAAATAAGTATATATTCTATAATTATATTTTGTTAAGGATACGTGTTAGATTATGGTGAATGTTGTGCAGACCCGTTTTGGGTATTGTTGAACCATATTATTTAAGAAGTGTTGGTACTTAAACAAGACTTGTGGTGTATTGTCCTAGATGTACACTCGGGTCACATAACAACATTAAAAATTTGTATTTAGAAATTATTTAGGATTCTGTCACCTTGGATAGGCTTTTGCATCAAATGTTGATTTAAAAATTATTTTCCTCAATATAATTGTTTGACATTGTATTTTATTAGATAAAATTTTATTATAAATGCATTTTCAATTATCATGGTAGAGCTTATTCATTATGTTAAATTCTTTCTACTATAGTCGGTTATTTGTAAAATATTTTATTTATATGATAAAATATTTTCTACCATAGTAAAGCTTTAAAAAAAAGTTTTGTTATTTATTACCATGATAGAAATTTTTTTTATCATGGTAAGGGTCTAATAAAGTAAAAATAATTTATTAAATTAATAAATTATAAAAAATCAGTTTGAAGATTTTAGGGTGTTATAGTTTGCGCCCCTAAAAACATGGGCTAAGCTTTAAAAACATGACTTTGGGGTATTTTTAGGTTCTAATTCATAGTTTTATTAAGTAACCACTAATAACCCTTAAAAGTACGTTCAAATCATATTTAAACATACTTTTTCCAAATTTAATAAAAAGTTGAATCCCTTAAATAGATTTTTGTTAGATGAAAACTGAAAAATAAACATGCAAATGATGAACCACTGTAGATCCGGACAGTTAAATTAGATTTGATAATTTTTAAAAGTATATATTTAATTTGAAGATTCAAATTCATAATGGAGGGAAAATGCTGTGGAAATAAACTCACTCTAAATACAAGCCATTGGCATTTTTTGGTTGCCTGGACGTGTTAGTGTGCATGTTAGCATTGGCCAAAATAATTAAAATCAAATGGAGGGTTTATCATTGATAAAACATGAAGTTTACAGATGATGATTCATTGATCCCTGAGCCATCAAAGCCAATCATCTACTAGTGAATCGATTCGCTCGTTCCAAAACATAGTTAACTATTACCTAATTAAAGAGCAGAAAATTTGAATCATTTCTAATTTCTAATTCTAGCCTCCTATTTTGAACTCGCATAAAAATATCCCCGTTAATCAATGAAGTGATAAAACCTTGTGGTAAGGTTAAGAACTACTCTCTCAAGTATGGTTGTGCAAAAGTGTTTTTGTTCGGTCCTACCCAATTTAGTTCAGTTTGGATAAAATTGGTCTTGAAGGATCAAAAATATAAAAAAAAACCTTGCCTTATTTTTGGATTGGATTAGACAAGAGATTGAATATTAGATCACTTAGTCAAGTCTAGTCCTATAAATTTACTTAATATAATTATAATTAATTTATTAATTATTATAACATCAAGTTAAGTTTGTACTCTATTAAAAAGAAAACTAGAAATTAAAGGACAGGTCCCTCGCTCAAGTCACTCGCACAACATGCCCATTTTCTTGCTCACAGTGTTGCAAACGAAGTATCTAAATGTGATATTTAGATGCAGTAAACTTAAACTTCTATACCAAAATAGGCCGTCGCATTTTGACTCAGATAGACACAAATGCTACTTATTTTAATGGACATGTCTGGCTCCTTTCACTTCACATTGCTCTTATAATTTTAACTGAGCAAGCCTGTTTTTAACTCTCCTTTGCGAATCATTAATTTCAAACATATGATCTTTTTATATGATGCTCTCACTAAATAGTTGTGGATGATTTAAAAAATTGTTATTGCAATTAATTTATCTTAGAAAGCGCAGAGAGATATTCTAAGTGCCATAGTTTATTGAAATTTAACTATAGTTGATGGTCTGTAACTATTCAATGTAAAATTCAGCCTAGCTCATTGGCATCCTAACAGTCCATAAACTATTCTAACATATATAAAAAATGAAACAAGTGGATAGACAAATTAGGTCAAAATAAATTATTATCTTTTGTAAAAAAAAAATTGAGACATTAGCCTAGTTTTCTAGTATTTACTAGACTAGTTTAATCTTACTCAACTTCAAGTTATACTAGGGCAAGATCACATCATAAGTTGCCTAACTTAGTTCTTTTCATGAAAATAACTAAACTTTGAGTTAAATCAAAGTGTTGTTTGGTTTGTCCTTTGCACAGCCTTATCTCAAAGTCCGATGCAAGTAAAACTAATCAATTGTTTCACAAAAATTAACAAAGTGATTTTTTAATTGTGTTAAAATTAAATATCTTTTATACTTACTCCGGACTAAAATATAAGATATTGGTAACTAATTCATAATTCTAAAAAAATGTTAATTGAAACATTAATTTCTTAAAAAATCTTGCATCTTTTCAATTTTGCCCTCATTAAACATCATATGTAGATGCTTTGATAATGATAATTAAAATTTGAATGCATCATTTTTTCATGAAGAATAATAAATAAAATAGAGGTATAGTTAAAAAATAATTATAAAAATTACCTAATGTCCTAATTTCTGGACAAAACAAATATTTTTAAATATACTCCTTTCGATCCTATTTATAATTCATACCTACTAATTTATTAATATCAATACAATATAAATATAAGGAATAAAAGTAAGTAAAATTCTAAATATAATCTCAAAGTAAAAAGTAAAAAGTAAAAAAATTATATAATATTATTTTTTGTCCTCTTTGTTTTATTTTTCAAGAGTAGTTTAAGAATTTTAATTTAAAATAAAATAATTTTATCAATTAATTAATAAGTTATAAAGTAAATTAAATTATATTTTTAAAAGGCATATAAAATATTGGACCCAAGGGAGTACTCTGTATTGTAATAGGAGGTAACATGTTTTAACTACAAGCAGTCCAGCCCAAACATTCGACCCAAAAAAGCCGAACATTTCACCCAAAAAACATTGGAACACCACAGCGACCACCTCTCTTGAACCAAGGCAAGAAAAATAATAATAATAATAATAAATTTTTTTAAAATATATAAATAATAATTTAATCTATTAAAATATTATAACTCCCTTAAAATTTTAAATTTTTTTATTATTAATAAATTTATATAAATTATTAAATTATTTTTATTAAAAATAAATATTTTACACTTTTTTTATATTCATAACCTTTTTTTAAAATTTATAATAATATGATAATAAATATTTTAATTTAATGTTGCATTATTATAAATTTTTTTAAAAAATAATAAATTATTTATTTTTAATAAAAATAATTTAATAATTTATATAAATTTATTATTAATAAAATTTTTATTTAAAATTTTAAAAAAATTATAATATTATAAAAAAATTAAATTATTATTTCTACATTTAAGGGAGATTTTATCGCGGTGTTTCCATAAAAATCGGGGCTTGTGGCGTCTCAGACTCGGAGAAAACTCCACTCCCCACCGTACGAAGCTCCAAAACCAGAATTCAAGTGCACCTTCTGATAATCGAATGGATCTGGTGAAAGCCTTGACCTTGAGAGACTCCCCAACATCATTCTCACATGTAGTTCCTGCTAGTAACTTCTACTTACTTCCCCCATCTCCCAGAAATTTTTCTTTCCAATTGTGGGCCAGCTCATTCCATCATATTTCGAGAAAGTCCCAAATTCTCTGCGCCAAGAAAAGAAAATCGGAGTCAGATTTAGTTCTCGAACCCGCACTTGTCGAAGAGATGCCAATGAACGATGAAGAGGACGTCCTTGATGATTTCGAATACGGTAGAGCTACCCTCTACACCGAATCTCTTCTTTGTCTTTGAGTGACTCTGACTAAAATTTTTCTCTGAGATGTACTCGAAGTTCATATTTTTCCCGTTTTAATCACACAAGTATTATACCTTTACATTCAAATCGTGCTATAGTGACCATGTGCGGAAGTCAAGACGAGTTTATTGCGAAATTTCCATTGAAGTCAACCTGGGATATTTTTGCTCCAAACCCCATTATTTCTGACGGAAGTTATTGATTTCATAGAGGACTCAGGGGATGACGGTGACAACTTCTACGACGAAGAGGAGTATGGAGATGGCGATGCTGAACTCTTTGTAATTTTCGCTCTTGTATTGCTGTGTTGATATAAAATATCAGATATTTTGTTTGTACGTATATCAATGTGCACATTTGGTTTCTAAGGTAGGTGATGGGGGCGGAGGCGGTGGAATTTCTCTTGCTGGAACATGGTGGGATAAGAAAGCACTGGCGATTGCTGAAGAGGTTATTAGCTCTTTCGATGGTGAACTGCAAATATATGCTTTCAAGACATTGGTCAATTCCACCATTCGTGTGCGCATAGAGAGGCTTTCCAACAAGTAAGCATTAGATGCTTTTTTATTGTATTTTCTGGGGGAAAATAAAAGCGAAGAAGTGGACCTTGAAGCTTATATTGCTTCAATTAGTCATAACGTATTTTGTTGGCATTTATGTTGGATATGCCGCAAAACAAGGACGCGTCTATGACAGTATGGCTGTGTTTTCTAACTCGTGAAATATATCCTGATTCAGATATGATCATTAATGCTCAGCAAGACAGACAGATTGAATTATTTTGCTCAATTTTCTGATTATATGGTCATATTGTCATAAAGTGTTTACTGTGTTTATAACAAGCTGACCCTTTGACGTAATTATTATTTTCTAAAGTAACATGCCGAAGTTGAAAATATTGTAGTGTAGCTATCCTCGGGTGCCAATAACTGAAGTCCCTTAAATGTTGCATATGTAAGTCAAAGGATCAAAATAATACAATTAATATGCATATATATTTATATAGTGAAATTCATGTGCCAAGAGTTTCGGATAGGTAATGTTGTATTGTTTTCCATCTTTTATGCCTTTTCATTGCTGTTATTCTGATTTCTTCTGTAAGTGTTGTATACCCTATCCAATCATCTCACGTTTGCTGAGACAAAATATCTGGCTGATGTCAGATCTGAGAACCAATCGGTCAAGCTGGGTAATGGTTGCAATTTTATTTAGGATTGAAAACGAGAAGATGGAATGCATTTTGGTATCCCTATCCCTTGTAAGCAAAAAGAGGACTTTTACTTTGTAACTGAGAAGAGCAAATCTTTGCAATTTTATCGAAGGTTTTAAGTGCAATGAATGGATAAAAGGGGGTAGAAACATTACCCTTGGCAACTGTGTTTAGACTAGCAAGACTCTTTAATGACTCCATGGCTACTATATATTTCATTAGATTACCCAAGTTTTTTCACCTTGTAGTTAAACATAGTCAATACCATGTGGACATTTTTTAGTGGATGAACTAATCATGCTATTTGAATGTTAAGCAGTAGGGGTCAAAATAAGCTAGGTTGAGCTAAAGTTTGGCCAAATGGGCCTGAGCCTGTGTGATAAGTTAAAGACTTGAAGTTTGTATCAAGCTTTTTTTTACGGTTTTGACTTGAACCTACCCAAAGCCTACTTAAATGTAAGCATTTTAAATAAGCTTACATATTGGTTTTCAACATCTCAAACATGCTTTAGGACTTTTAAATTCTATATTTATATAACATGATTTATCAATTCTAATATATAACAATTAAATTACTTACCAACTAAATTACAACAATAAATTAACAACATTAAAATCAATATATAAGTCTAATCTGATTGAGAATATAATTAGAAATAAAAAAGAATAGATTGATCAAAAATCAAATGGTGAAATTAATGTGCATGCAATATATTACATAATAATATATACGCAAATAGGAAGGCTTGTTAGGCTTGTAGGTTGGGCCTTGTAAAAATAGATTCGGCCTATTTAACTAAATAGGCCCAATCAAAGGCTTGAACCTAGCCTGAGCCTATTTAGTAAATAGGTTAGGCTAGGCTCCAAGTAGACCAAGCCATAGCCTGGTTTATTTCCACTTCTAGTTAGCAAAATCCACCAAGTGTAGTAATATTTGTCTGTTTCAGTTTCCCTATTGTCTCTGCCTGGTAATATCTGCTAGTATATTCACTGATTTTTTGCCTAAGTTGTTGAGGTTGCTGTAGTATAGTAATAGCCAGTTGGTGCTTGATGTTTGAGCTTTCACTTTCACATATTGTTAGGTCTGGCTCGCCTAGCATGGAAGACATCGAAGCTTTTTCTACTGCCTATAGAGCAAAGTTAGATGAAGCAGAGCTTGCCAAATTTGTGCCTGAAGATATAAGTTTGGAGGTATCATTTCAAGTATCTCATTGGAATTTTATCTTACTTTAATTTGGGTTGCGAGAAATAACTTGTGAAGCTGGCATGGCATGATGAGCAACATTTGAAGGTGCAGATTGTTGAATTTATGAGCTAATGATTAATGAAACGTGTGGTCTCGTTATAGTAGCTAAGCTTCTGTTTCTTTTGCGCCCGTGTTCTTGGAGGCCGCTAGAGCTCTCAAATTGAAATTTATGAAATTTTCAAGGCTTCCTTTTGATGGAGAGTAAAATTTATGATATCTTCCTTCAGGTGTCTTCTCCTGGTGTTGAAAGGATAGTCCGGATTCCCAATGACCTGGATCGATTCAAGGAGCGACCAATGTATGTGAAATACGTGAGCAATGAGGATTTAGATGTCTCATCTGCAGAAAGTGAGGGTGTGTTCAACCTGATAGCCTTTGACCTGGAAACAAGGTGCTGCACCTGGGGTTTGGCAGACGTGAGAGCAAATAGAGAGAAAGCAGGGAAAGGAAGACCACTGAACAAGAAGCAAAGAGAGTGGCGTTTAAGTACCCCCTTTGATTCTTTGCGTTTAGTTAGGTTGTATTCTGAAATGTAACTTTGGTTATATTTTTGGCAAGAGGTCATATTTTGGTACCCCACGCCTGCCCATGTCTTTTTGTACGTCTGAGTGTATTTAGAGAGCGTCATGTTCGTGCATGTACAAAGCGAAGAGTTGCAATAATTTTTTTTGTCAATTTAACGGTATCATGGGTAATTACTGTCGTTTCTGTCATTGCTTGTTTTCACAACTGATTGTTGGTTGCATGTGAAAGTGGAAGAGAGAGGAAGAACAAAAAAAAAAAAAGGTGTGGAAGCTTAGGCCCCAGAATGCCATTGCCATTTAGACGTTTCACACTAGTTGTTGAAACATTTGCTTCACACTAGCTAGTAAACGAAACGTTTCACTGTGACATGAAGTTGGTTAGTTGGTAATGGTAAATCCTGATATTGGCTGACCAATTAGGGAAGCGTGCGTTCGCAGGGGTTTAACGCACTCATTCTTGGACCATTAGATTATACTGTGTTTTCACATAGTAATTCTAATTTTGAATTACCAGAAACTAAAACGGGCTTTTGGGAACTGGAGACCTCCAATTGTAGCATTCAGCTCCCCCACTTCTATTTGAACCATCTCACGCCTTCATAGATGAATTGATTAACATATCGCTAGCCATTCGATGAATCTCATATTAGCATAGCCTTTACACATTTACTTAAATAATTTAGATCGTGACATATTTAATAATATTTGGATAAAATACTTTGATTTATTGTTGTTTTATTTTGGGAGAATTACATTCAGGGTACCAAATGAGAAAAAATGATAATGAGAGCTCAAAACAATGGAAAGTGTAGCATGCACAGCTGAATCACTAAACCTTCTGTTCTGGAGCTCTGGTTGTGATTTTCTTTTATTTTCTATTATTGAAGTGACTTTCTTACTCCATCTATTATGATTTAAAAATAGTCAAAGTTAAATTAAAAATAAAGAAAGCTATATATTCTGAAACAAAACTAAAACCAACTAATATTTTGGAAAAGAGTAGGTCTACCGCCTTTCTCAAAATAAAGGAAAAAAACAACTCAACTAAAGGTCTGGAATTTGAACTATGTAAATATAGCAACTTTAGTGGTAGGGCTACTATTTAAAAGGGCCTCGTTTCAACTCAATCCAAATTAACTTCGACCCTCATTAAAATTCTTTCATTTTGCCATGGGATGGGCCTAGGATATTGGGTATTGCAAAGTACAAAAAAAAAAAATAAGAGCTTATCCTTATCACTCTGTTTTTATTTATAAAAAAAATTATTATTTTTTACTTATTTTTTCATATAAATAAAATTACATATTTTAATAAATATTTATTATACATTTTTAAATCACCCTTCATAGTTTACATTAATGAAAAATAATTAATGTATATTTATATTGATTAATATAGAATATTTTAATTTAATTTTTTTATTTTCAGATATAATTATTATAATTAGTTAATTTTTTTAAATTGTGTGATATAATTTTTTTTATATATAAAAAATGAAAGAAGTACATTTTAACACCAAAGCTGGGATTAGTTGGGGAAGAGAACAGTCTATTTGGTCATCATAACGTCATTTCCCCCTCCACAAGGAAAAACGTCAGTTTCAATAGCATTATTGAAACTCTCAATTGCTGGGAAACGCCGAATGGAAGGCTTCCCTAGCGTCTGAAGTTTGAACAGTGCATTTATTTAATTGCAGTATGTTAAAAAATTAGAATTTGTCTTTTACCCCATCCTTAGCTTGACAATTACTCCAAGGCTAAACTTTCCCCCTTTTTAATCATTTCGTCTTTGCTTTCCTTGTCTTATTTATTCGGCGCTTGATTCATACATTGGTTTCATTCGAAAGCAGCCATAAAAATGATAAAGGCTATATTTATTGTTTCTTCTATCATTTGTATTGCTGCTTGCAACTTGTTCATTATATTGAATGAAATATATGAGTGATGGTAAGTTATGAAACAGAAATAAAAGAACCACTTTCTACCTTAAGCAATGAGTGCTAGCCAATCAAGCTAGGAAAAGTCTTAAAAGAACTTGGAACCTGTGTCTAGTTGCTTGGAAGATAATGAATGGGATGAATTGAAGAAATAAAGATAAAATTAAAATCATATATAGAAGTAAGATAAGTTAACAATCATGATTTATGAGAATTCATGGAGGGTTTGATGATTCTCATGTATATAGCATGTGGTGTTAAATTTTGTTATATTTATCAAGAAGAGTAATTAATTGATTCATTTTTATTATTGTTTCTTTTCTATTCTCATTATTTCAACAATTAAACGACTCTTCAATTTATTGCTCAAACTTTTGTATATATAATTTTACATATATTATGTCGCATGATTAAAAGTTTGAATTACGATCCATGTCATATCGTTCAATTGATTCTTTAAATATTCTTTTACTTCTCGTGCTATAAATTTATAATCATACCATTGGCTAAATGTTGTATCAATATTCTCAAATATTTATTGAAGACAACGATATTACTACCTATTTTAGGTCCAACCTAACTTATTTATTAAATAGGTTTTAAGTTAGATTCAAGCTTTTAATTAGGTTTATTCAATTAAATAGGTCAAGTTTGGTTTACGAACTCAACAAGTTGGCTTATTTACACACACACACATTATGCAATATATCACACACACGTCAGTTTTATAATTTGATTTTTAATCAATATATGTTTTTTTATTTTTAGTTATGTTTTTAATCATATTGATTTTAATGCTATTATTTTATTATTGTATTATATTATAGTTAGTAAGTTTTTTTAATTATTATATATTGTAATTAATAAATCATGTTATATATTCATACTAATAGTCTTAAAGTATATTTGAAATATTAAAAATTAAAATATAAGCTTATTTAAAAAACTTACTTTTAAGTAAGCTTTTAGATTAGGCCAAACTTTACATAAGTTTAGGCTTAAGTTGTAAGAAAAGTCTCACATAAGCTTTATGTCAAGTTCAAAACTATAACTTATCATACAAGCTTAAATTTATTTGATCAAAACCTAATTTGACTGAATATGTTTCTACCCTTAAATATTACCATGTGTTTCAAGTAGTCCTTGTGGCGTGTATTTAAAGACCGTGCCAGCAATGTTGAATGGATTCCCAATTACTTATGTTTGGTACAATGGAATGAAGAGTGATGGAATATGAATGGGAAAAGAAATGGCCTATTGCCTTGTTTGCTGCACAGGAGTGGTTATTCTATTGGAATAACTTGTTATCTCATTTGAGGTAATCCTCATTTCATCATAAGGCCGTGGGAATGGGATTTATTCATTGGGAATGAACCTTTATGGACAAAAATATCCCCAATTAAGAGTTTTATAGACACAACTGCCCATCTCATTTTTTGTCCTGATTTCATAAGTCTCCCTCTCTCCCTTTTGCCTCTCTCTTTGGTGCCTTCTGCATTGTCGTTCTTCCTCGTCGTCGACCTTCTTCTCCATCGTTTCTCGCCATCTGGCCTTCTTCCCGTCCACCCTTGCCGTTCGACTCCTCCCCGTCTTTAATTAACCTCCTTGTCGTAGCTGTTCAATGTCGCCAGTCACTGCTAAATGATTAAATCAAAGCTTTGCCACCGTCGCTTCAGCTTCGCCGCCGCCATTGCCCCTTCTTCCCTCTCTCCGATGTCGCAAGTCTCTGCCTTTGTCATTATTTGTATCTTCATCATTTTTCACAAGCTTTGCTCACCTTTCCTTCTTCATCAACCTTCCTTCACCACCTGTCCAGATCTACTTCAGTACATTTTTTTATTTTTTCTTTTTAATCTTGCATATATTGATTTAATGATTTAGGTATTATGTGTTTTGAATTTGAATATCTTGATGGAAGTTAGAATATTTAAATTTTGACATGGTGCTTCCCATTGCTGTTATGGTTGAGGGAGGTCGTTTTTAATTTCTTTAAACTAACAAGAAAGAAGATATATGCGGGAAGGGAGTCTTGACTGGATTTTTTTTCCTATGATATGAATAAGAGTAATATGGTATTTTTTATATTATAATTATGAATATTAAATAAAATTCATCGGAGTATTCCATAAGATACCAAACGTATTTTTAGAATTCATTCCCATTCTCAATCCTATTCTCTGATCTTATTCTCATTCCCACTCCATTCCCTCAAAATGCACTTTGACAGTTTGACGTACCAAACGTAGTCATATGATGAATGTTTAAGGCTTTTGAATTAGTTGACTTCTTGTTAACAAATTGAATTTTGATACTATTACTTTAGATTTGAGCATTGTAATAATTGATGAATAGGATAAATATTCAACAAATTGGATTTAACTGTGTTAGCTTGGACATCCAAGTAAAAAGTCTCTCGTTATCAAAGTTAGTTTTAATAATTAATATATATTCTCCCCATTAAAAAATATAAGTATTTTTAGAAGAATTGAATATCTAAAAATATCCTATTAAACAATCACTTTATATTTATTTTAAAATAAAACACTCTATTACGTAGGGTAAATATAAAATATAGTATTAATATGAAAACAAGTAATTATTTTATTAAAAATAAAATTGATTTAAAAATACATTACATTTTTTAACAAAGTGAGTAAAAATAAAAAAATTATAAATTTAGTTTTGAAACTTTTAATTAAAATGTGATGTCTTTTTATTACTCATTTCTATTTATTCTCCCTCCTATTTTTGAACGGCCCCTCCCTATTTTCAATAAGAACACATCAGAAATGAACAAACATTTGGATTCTCATTCTAGGCTGCTCCCACGAAAGGACAAATCTGCATTCTATAGTAGGAATAAATTCGGTACCTCGACTCGTCCTCTATCACTCTTTTTCGGTTATCTCAATTACATGCCATATTAAAAGTCATTTCATGCTCTTTTCTTCTTCTTTTCTTTTTCTAATTAAATATTGAACACACATGGTATAAAGGCTTCTAGATTAGTTACTATGATCCCTTTTAATTAATTTGTTAATGTGATAATAAAAACTACTCTTGTTCTCCAACTAATAAGTAATGATCAGCAAACAAAGTGTTAGGTAAGAATTTTAGCTCATCTATGGGGAACGATAATTACCTTTGAATGTTTTGAAAAATTCAAAAATTTTTAAGTAACAAAAATTATTATTACGTAACATTATTGTAAGTGTAAGCCAACACTTAATTGGTTACGTCTTTAAAATGTTAGAAAATATCAAAATTATAAATATAAATGATATTCCAAAAACTAATTTTACAATAACATTATATATGGATTAGTTCTTGAAAGTTTACCCAAGAATTAAATCGTCAATCTGCCCCGGAATTTGATAATAAGATTAAGATTAAGATATGCCCAATTATTTCCGTCCTCCAAAACTTTGAAAGATGCCATCTCGTGTAGGTTGTTCCTTCACAAATCGTCAATCCTCTATCATTGGACAGTGACATGAAACTGGTCAACACGAGTCTCATGTCCAACAATCCTAGTTGGGATTCTAGCTTGTCAAGTTTGTTTCAAGGAATGACGAAATGTTTAATTCTTTAAGTTTGTCTTGGTTATTAATTTGATCTCTTGAGATTAATTTTTACTGATTGGGTGTCATTACAATTATCAATTTGGTTGTTATTTATTTAAAGAGAAGATAACACTATTAAAATATAATAACACCGATAATAGAATAGTGATGGCAGTTGTTAAATAGAGAATACACATTTTAAATATAACGATTAACGAATACTTGTTTCTAGGAGATGTTGATGTTTAAAATATAGGGAATAAAAATAAAAAGAGAAAACTAATGTTTACATGATAAATAGATTTAAGTGCCTCCTTAATTTATGTAGTTTTTTTTTTAATATGAGGACTTATATACATGGAATGACAAAAAAGTATTATAAATCAAAAGGATCTTATTCATTAAGGAGTGTTGATTAAATAGATTATAAATTGAGAAGGTAACGCAGTGGATGAAACGGCGGGCGATACAACCCATGATTCGGTGGACGAAAGGCTGGCTAATTCCAAATGATGCTGCTCTCGGTCGCGGTGGGCCAATGAGAGCATATGTTTGAGTGAGGCATAGACTGGATGTAACGGAGATGTTTGTTGGGGAAAGCAGTCATAGCTCACGCGCCTCACGCAGTAATTTCGTAATAATATCATTATTTCTTATAATAAAAATAAGAGAGAGAGAGAGAGAGAGAAGAAAATAACGGCCGGAGAGGGTTGGTATATAAGAGGAGCAGTATTGGTGAGAAGTGAGGGAAATGGAAAAGGGGTGGGATCGTGGAGCGAGCGTGGGAGGGATGGGAGGAAGGCGGTACCTGGGTGTGGCGGTGGCTCTGATGGTGGCACTAGTAGTGGTGGAAGGGTACCCAACGGAGGATTTGGTGGCGGCACTGCCTGGCCAGCCAAAGGTCGGGTTCAAGCAGTACGCTGGCTATGTTGACGTGGATCCCGGCCACGGCAAGAGTTTGTTCTACTACTTTGTGGAGGCCCAGCACGAGGCTCTTCACAAGCCCCTCACCCTCTGGCTCAATGGAGGTCCCGGCTGTTCCTCCATTGGCGGCGGCGCCTTCACTGAGTTGGGTCCCTTTTATCCCACACCTGATGGCCGTGGCCTCCGAACCAATTCCATGTCTTGGAACTCAGGTCTATATCTATAGGAACACCGCCCTCACTTTGGCTTTGTTGGTCTGTTGCTAGTTTTTTTTTTTTTTAATATTAAATGCTGCTTCACAATATTGATTGATTGACAGTATCCAACCTGCTGTTCGTGGAGTCTCCTGCCGGAGTTGGCTGGTCCTACTCAAATACGACGTCTGATTATAACACCGGAGATGCCTCCACCGGTATACATGCACTCACTTGCTCTCAGTCGTCTGAACCGATTATCATTTTCCTCCAAATAACACGGTCAATATATTCCGGTTTCCACGAACTCAGCCTTATTATGGTTTTTGTTTTTGGCAGCCTTCGACATGTACTTGTTCATGCTGAAATGGTACGACAAGTTTCCAACGTACAGATCAAGGCAGCTCTTTCTTTCCGGAGAAAGTTATGCAGGTTAATTTAACACATCATAAAACACTGCATTCCTGTACTTTTACAGCTGAGCATTCAATCCTATATTTTACCCCAAGTTGCCTCCGTTCTGTTTTCATTCTTTGTCGCATCTTCATTCTGTTCATATCCTCTCTTTTCCTCATCTCCTACAGGAATGTTACCTTTTTACCCCCGGGGGGGTGTGTATTTGAGTGCGCATGTCACTAATTTAGTAATTTTGAATAACGATAAATTAATTGCTCCCCCATTTTTTAAGTGATATAATTTGAAACCACATGATATAAGCGCCTCCTTAGTCACTAGAGAGTATGGGACAATGCAACCGATAACATCTTACGTGTTGTTTGGCGTAAATTCTAACAACATCTAGCCGGATCACATGATCTCTTAATCAATTAATCATTATTTATGACTCCTGGGATACTGGCGTTACGTACATAAAGATGGGGGAATGAATCGGATTAGAACCATGAAGGAGTATGCTCTCTTCATTTCTATATAAACGAGAAAAAAATATATCATATAATTTAAAAAAATTAATTAATTATAATAATTATGTTTGAAAGTAAAAAAATGAACTAAAATGTCTTGTATTAATCAACATTAGCATGTATTAATTATTTCTTATTAATATAAATTATAAAATATGATTTAAAAAATATGTAATAAATATTTATTGAAATGGGTGATTTTATTTATAAAAAATATAAGTGAAAAATGATACTCTCTCTCTTAAAAAATGTAAGGTATTTTTTGAAAAGTTAGATGTTAAAAAATGTAAGACATTTTTAGTTTTTTGAGGTGTAATTATTATCTTTCTTTTAAAAGTGCCCGTATTCATGAATGACTTTATATTTATTGTAAGATATTTAATAAAAATAAATATAAAAGATAGGATTAGTTTAAAAATAAATAATTATTTTATTAAAATAAGATTTAATTAAAAATATTTTATATTTTTAAATGAAAGAAGGGAATAGTTTCTTTAATAATAAAAAATGAAAGAATATCTCGTCTGATGTGGACTCTTCCTTGTCGTGCCAGCATCCTAATGACCAGAGAGATGAAAAGTGGTGGGGCCACATCTAATCCGCCGTTTTATCCATCTCTTTTAAGCTGGCTACAGGAAGGAGGCATAAAATTAGCGGTTTATTTTATTTTATTTCATTTTTCCTGAAAATCTTAGGTTCAATTTAATTGGCCTGCGCCACATGAAACCGTCTCAATAATCCATGGCATGATATAATTCTTTTTTTAAATGAAAATTGTGTTTGCTTCATCACAATCGACGTTTCAGGTAGATTAGCGTGGAAAAAAAAAATCATCATTACCACCAAATCTTTTGTCCACGCCGTCGTGACGTGCATATAAAATGTATTTACAATGCTATCTCCTATGCAGGACATTACATACCCCAGTTGGCCGATTTGCTATTGGACCACAACACTCGTTCAACTGGTTTCAAATTCAACATCAAGGGAGTTGCAGTAAGATCCCACAAATCTGCATAACTTGCTCAAACTTTCCTCTCACACACATTCTCTCTCTCTTCTCATCTCACTTGGCTTAATTTGGTTGGTTAGATTGGAAACCCTCTCCTGAAACTTGACCGGGATATTCCTGCGACATACGAGTTCTTCTGGTCCCATGGCATGATTTCCGATGAAACTGGCCTCGCCGTTATGAATGATTGCGATTTCCAGGATTATGTGCTTCCCAGTCCTCACAACGAATCTCATTCCTGCAACCTCGCCATAGCCGAGGCTGATCGTGTCGTGGGCAATTACATTAACGATTATGACGTGATCCTCGATGTTTGTTATCCTTCCATTGCTGAGCAAGAACTCAGACTCAAAAAGATGGTATCACTCGTCTCTTCCTTTTCTCTTTTCACTCTCTGTTCAACGCTTTTAAATGAATTCACTGTACTAGCTAATTTGGGCCCCTTATACACGTGTGTGTGTCAACGCAGGCTTCCAAAATAAGTTTAGGCGTTGATGTTTGTATGGATTATGAAAGAGACTTTTATTTCAACCTCCCCGAGGTTCAGAAGGCTCTCCATGCAAACAGTACCAGTCTGCCCTATAGCTGGTCCATGTGCAGCGAGTGAGCAATACATATCTAACATAACATTATTATATAATTTCTATCCGATCGATATTTAAATTTTTTTCATACTGATCTTCCCATTCTCTTGATTGCCCAGCTTTTTGAATTATAGCGATTCTGACGGTAAAATCAACATCCTTCCAATTCTCCGGAAGATACTTCAGAATGGCATCCCAGTTTGGGTTTACAGGTAATTAATTGATATTAATAAACTTGAAGGCAGGCATGAAGGGCACCCTTCTTTCTCATGTATTATTTACATGTATGTATGCAAATTGTTTGACGCGAACAGATGATATTGATCACAGTGGAGACCAAGATTCTGTTGTGCCATTGCTGGGTTCGAGAACGCTAATGCGAGAACTAGCTCGTGACATGAAGATGAAGATTACAGTACCATATAGAGCTTGGTTCCACAAAGGCCAGGTACGTCATGCATGATTATAATTAAGCTCAAGTTAGTTTAAACGTGAAACTCAATTGAAGACTAACGGTGATGGTGATTAATTGTTATTAGGTAGGAGGATGGGTAACGGAGTATGGGAATTTGCTGACATTTGCGACGGTGAGAGGGGCGGCTCACATGGTGCCTTATGCACAGCCATCGAGAGCACTGCAATTATTTACTTCGTTTGTGAGTGGACGAAGGTTGCCTAATACAACTCATCCACTCATCAATGGCTGATTTTTAATGTCTTACCAGTTGCTATATATACTATAGCACATATATCTGGATTCTCTACCCCCTCTTGTTTGAGTCTTGACTGAGTGCCATGGAATGGAAACAGCAATATATGTGTTCCGCTTCTGTAAGGAAATTCATGCGATATACCTACCCCCTTTACTTAAAAATATAAAGTATTTTTAATCAAATCTCACCTCTCAATAAAATAGTTACCTATTTTTAAACTAACCTTATCTTTTCATATTTATTTCTATTAAAAGTTATTATCAATAGGGACACTTTTAGAGGAAAAAAATACAATAATTATAAAGACTAAAAATATCTTACATTTTTGAATATTCAACTTCTCAAAAAATGCTTTACATTTTTAAACGTGGGAGTATGTGTCATGCATTTTCATGGGATAATTTCCTTTCAATGATTCTTTTATTTGGGAAAAAGGGTTCGTGAGCTTATAATTAATGAAATCCCCCTCTCTAACCCCAACTCGTCATTAAAAAAAAAAAATCAAATGGGAGAATTTATATATTTTATTGAAAATTAATGAAATTAGGAGCATAACTTTGCCAATACAGATTTAAATCCTTTGAAGTTAAAATCTTTGAATTTTTGTAAAGTTTTCTTATTTTAATATTTTATTAATTTTTATGAAATACTTTATCCGGTACTATTTATAAGTTATTTTTACTAATCTCATCAATATCAATATAAAAAAAATTATAAGGAATAAAAGTAAGTGAAATTTTAAATATAATTCTCAAATAAAAATAAAAAATAAGCAAAAAATATAATATTATTTTTCTATCTTTCTCTCTCTTACTTTTTAAAAGTAATTTGAGAATTTCAATTTAAAACAAAATAATCACATTAGGTAGTGACTTATAAAATAGATCAAGTAAATGATTAATATACAGGATCGATGAGTATAAATTATTTCCTCCTTTTTTAAAAGGATAGATTTTATGGAAATTCACATATTTCAATTTTAAATGATTCGAATTCTCGCGCCAAAATGAGAACCTGATCAAGCAAATTGTGGCCGTTCATATCATCATCGGATTTAGGAGTGCCACCTTCCATACCATAGGCAATGTAAACGGCTAAATGGACTTGTCTGGACCCGCATTTTTCTTGCCTTGACAATAGACAAAATGAAATTATTTTTAATAGTCAACGATAAATAATTTGGCAATTTAATTTTGGATTAAAGGGAAAAAAATGTTCTAAATTTTTTTTTAGAAACACTGAGCATCCTAAACTTTTAATTAAAGCAATTTTATCCCCTCATTAAATATGAAAACGTTGACAACTAAATAGGATTTGATCACAGGCATTTCACTATTTTGATCATTTTTCATTCTGGTTTTCGATCCAACTCCCTATTCTTATCTCTTTCTTCTCCTTCTACTTCTACGTTTTTTTGTCTCTGCAATCTTGCTTTCTCCCCTTTGAGTTTGCTTTAGGCATGGTTGTTGCAGCATAACGAAGAAGATTAGTATTAGCAGCATCGAACTCCAATCCTTCCACGGCCTCTGGACCTATCTCTAAAAGAGAGAGATGGCTTCATCACATCCATACTCTGGGTCCCTCACGTGAGTTTTGGAAGCTTTGGCTTCAGGTTTGAAACTGCCAATGCCAAACTAGCACAACGGAGAATAAGACAGAACAAAGGTGAAGAGAAGATCATATGAAATAGAGGTTGAACGTAAGACGCAACAAATCCAACTAAATGTGGGCAACACCCATTTCCAATTGAGCTGCGAATATGTTGCAAAGAAGATAAAATGAAAGATGACGATACATTTGGTGGCGCAATAAAGATTGGATATTCTGATTGTTCTCTATTTCTCTTGAATTTTGAACTTATTTTTTTATTTTAAATTTGTTCTTGGCTTTTGTATGAGCACCCAGTGCTCATCTCTTGAGTTGAGAGCTGGATGGCAAACGCCTTTTGGGTGTAATCTTTAGTGCTGCATTAGAGACGAAAGGATAGCTAGATTAGGAGAAAAAAGGAGGAGGAAAACAAAGACAAAGAAACAAGGTGAAAGACATTGAAAGTGATTAAGGGAAATTGGAATTCGCTTCTCTCTCTCCCTATTTGTGCATTTCTACCATGCCATTCTTTTAATTTTTGTTTACTTTGTGTTTTTTTTAAACCACACAAATCTGTAAGATGAACTCAAATTGTGATTCCAAATAAAATGCATGCAAATTTCTTTACAGGTGTGAACGCATAAGAAGAATATGAGAAGAAGGAAGATAGAAGAAAATGTAAGGGGAGAAAAAAAAGTCAAAAATACCTCTGGTCAAACCCTATTTTTAAGGATCAACATCTTTAGATTTAACAGTAGGGCAAAAAAATCATTTTTGAAAGTTTCAGATAAAATTGCACCAAATAAAAATTTAAAACACCTAACGCTCCTGGAGAAAAAGTTCCAGAATATTTTTACCCTTTAATCCTTTAATTTTAAGACAAAAACAAACACAAGTGTCGAGCATGTCCTTCACAATCAACGTACTTTTCACAATGTGTTTGGAGTTTCACTTGGCTTTACATTTTCATAGGAAAGAGGTTGCAATCATAATTGTTAAATTCTTGAATTGACTTTTTGAGTTTAACATTTTTATGTTTCTAACTTATAAAAATCGTGTTAATTTATTTATAAATTCAAACTAAATATAAACTTAATTAAACTAATGAGTTTACCTTCAAATTTATCATTTTTATGTTTTTAACTTACAAAATCGTATCAATTAATTTATAAATTTAGACTAGATGCAAACTTAGTTAAACTAATTAATTTTTTAAGAGTTGACTAGTTAAGTATATACTATGAAAAAACTAATTAATAAAAGTTATAAGATCTAGTTTAAAGAAAAAAAATTAAAATGCAAAAACTAATATTAATAAAAAGGAAAAAAATACTAAAAATAGCTATTTAAAATTTTTTATACCTTATATATGATAATTTATTAATATATATGAGTTTGATTTCAATAATTTATATTTTTAATATATTTAAATTAAATTAAAAATATATTTTAATAAATATTTATTAATAGATGTAAACTCTTATATGTTTACATTCTTGTCAAGAATATACTTAAACTTATGAGTTTAATACCTTGGCTACAGCCATGTCCAGGTTAAAATCAGGATTTTTTTATAAAAAATATAAGAGCTAGTTTAAAAGTAAGGCTTCAATCTTTTTTATTTTCTATATTTATCATTTTCTCACAAATTATTCTATTGGTTAAATAAATCAATAAATAAAGGCATGTTCCAATATAATATAAATAATTAAAAGAATAAGTATTTTAGAGAAACAAATACGTAAGTTTTACAAAGAATTAACTCAACAATTTCTTTAATTTATATGGATTAATTATTTAGCTCTTATATTTAAGGATGAAAAGAATTAAAAGATACGGGCCTTTTTACCTGTTAATTAAAAAAAATGATATATACCTTAAATACTGGTTAGCGCTTTGCCAATTGCCAATACACACATGTGCAAATATATATATATATATATATTAATCAATGTCTGGGTAAATTAAAAAAGTAAATCTAGAAATGCATCCTCATATAAGCATAGGGAAAGAATAGATGAATATAGTTATGAGATGTGAATCTATATTACATCTGACAATCTTTGCTTGCATTTATCATATTTTGGAGCTCTCTTTCATTAGGATATGTTTGGTTAGCAGAGAAAAAATATAAATGAAATGAGTTAAAAATAAAAATAAATTAAATTACCTCTTCACTCACGATAAGCATAATGAAATTTAACACCATGTATGACAAATATAAAAATCATCATTCCTTTTACAAATTTTATGAATCACAATTTTTAATTTAATAAACTAAATTACTTTTTCCTCTGTGAACATGATTAACTCATATCTTTTTCACATCTTTATCGTTTTAACTTTATTTTTATTTTTCTTAATCAATTCTATTACATTCCTCTCCCATAAACAAATGCCCCCCTTAGTGTATATATGTATATATGCAGGAAAGGAGTTTTTTTAATCTCTCAGTAAGAAAATTGGATTACATAACATTTGTCGTGATCTTATTATTATTTAATAAGTATAATTTATTATTTACTCTTTTACTAAATTTTAAAATGACGTTCGCCAAGAAAATTGATTTTTATTTATAATTGTATTGTTTTATCATATTTTATTTTATAATATGGCATCTAGTTCTTTATATGATAGCATAGATTACATGCTTTTAGTTTTCAGGTGCCTCGCGCTTTTTGTAAGATGCCATGTAAAATTTTCAAATTCGGTCGTGTCTTTAAAGTCGATTGATTAAACTTTTAAAAATACGAATAGTTTAATTAACTAATAAAATAATATTTCATTATCAATAGGGCCTGTTTGGCAAAACAAATAAATAAATAGCACCCTGACCCTAGCATGCTCTTATTTAGGTGCTACCGGAGCCAGATAAGAGGTATAGTGCCCAACAATACATTTTTTATCATTAAGAAAAGGAGACTAAAAGATAAAAAAGGTGCATGACATTGTTAATAAAAAATTTAAAAAAGTGCACAAGAAGCATTTCTTTTAGAAAATCACATTAAATTTAGATCCAGGCTTCCTAAACCATGGCATTAGATAATATATTATATAATATTAACGGTAATTTATACGAGTCATGGTTAGAGTAGAGATGAGGCAGGAACGAAATGGGTGAAGCTTTGACTTCTGAGAGAGCCTTCTCAATACAGAGACGGTCACACGTCTGCCACGTTTGGAAGTCGGGTCACTTTTGGTTCGTTGTCTTCTAATGATAGTACGATTATGAGGCACTGGCCGCATGGGAGGAAGAGGAATGGTGTCGACAGCTTGCGCGTTTGGGCTCTTTGTCGCTTCTCTTTCCATCCACCTCTCGTATTTATAAGTAGCTTTTCCCCATTTCAGTTAACAAATCATGTTCTCAACCAACCGGGTTACGGCTGTCTTTGTTCTATTGACCAAATCACCCTCTTCCGTTTACCCGACTCCACAACCACCTCCCTCCCCACCATCTTTTGCTCTCCATTCCATGACTCTTGACACCGCTGCTCTCCAGATTTGGACTCCGAGTCTTCTGTTTCCTCTTCTTAATCTATG